ATATTTACACACATGCAATAGGATATTTCAAAAAAATACACCACTAAACAGATTCAAACACTTATCCTAACCAGACCTATATATATCTGAGAACACATAAAACTTATACTTAAGTACTGGATTCCTTGAATCTAGAAATAAGGTGATGATAAACACAAAAAGGGGGAAAGAACAAAGAGACGCTGTCGCCTGAGAGAGCGCGTGGAAGAGTGAAAGTGTCAACTCCTCTCATTGGCTGAGAGCCTACAGACATCCAGGTGGCCTCTCCCTATTGGCTGAAGGAAAAATGCGCGCGAACTGTCAGAATCCCTAACATGGCACTGGCTTTAACACCTCCCTTTCTAAGAAGAAAAATTTACAATGAAATTTTTGTTTCAACATATCTTAAAGTCGTGACAAGCAATCTGCAATCACATTATCCTTCCCTTTTATATGAATGATATTAAGATGAAACTCTTGCAAGTATAAACTCCATCTAGTTAATCGCTGGTTTTTATCTCTAAACTTGTTCAAATATTTGAGGGGATGATGGTCAGTAACACCGTAATTTCATGGCCAGAAGGATTAAGGTAAACAGCAAAATGTTGAAGACCAAGTATAAGTGATAATAACTCTTTCTCAATGGTAGAATAATTTTTCTGGGCTGAATTAAATTTCTTACTAAAGTAACAAACTGGGTGATCAATGGCCTGGTCATCTTCCTGCAATAAGACGGCACCAGCACCAACATCACTTGCATCTACAGCCAATTTGAAGGGCTTACTGAAATTAGGAGCTTGCAATACAGGGGAATTAGAAAGAATAGCTTTGACTTGATCAAATGCTAGTTCACATTCCTTACTCCACTCAAAGTTGATACCTTTCTTCAACAAATCAGTAAGGGGAGCTACCACTTCTGTAAAATTTAAAATAAACATACGATAGTAACCTATCATACCTAAGTATCTTTGTAATTCTTTCCTATTCTGAGGTCTGGGACACCGACATATATTCAACTTTGTGGGGCTACTGATCCCTGTCCAATTACATACCCAAGATACTGTACTTGGGCTTTAACAAATTCACATTTTTCGAGGTTTACAACAAGATTAGCACTGGAGAATCTATTCAAGAGTTCTCCAACTTCAGAGATATGTTCTTCCCAAGAATCACTGTAGACAACCACATCATCTATATAAGTTACACAGCCTTTGATTCCTGCAGTAATAGTGTTCATCAATCTCTGAAAAGTGGCAGGAGCATTTTTCATACCATAGGGCATCACTTTACACTTATAAGTTTGACCCAAAGTAACAAAACATGAAATGTCCTGAGCTCGGTCAGTCAAAGGAACTTGCCAATATCCCTTTAGTAGATCAAACTTGCTAATGTAATTAGAACTTCCCACTTTGTCGATGCACTCATCCACCCTTGGTAACGGATATGTGTCTGTCTTAGTCAGAGCATTGACTTTCCTAAAATCAATACAAAATCGATATCCCCCATCAGACTTGGGCACTAGAGTCACAGGTGAACACCACTCACTTTGGCAAGCTTCAATTAGTCCATGTTCTAACATATAATTCAATTCTTGTTGAAGAGGGGCAAGACGATTTGGATTTACACGGTAAGGCGCCTGCTTCACTGGTGCAGCATCCCCCACATTCACATCATGCACTGCTAATGTTGTAAGTCCTGGTGAGTCCCGGAATACATCCTGATACCGAGACAAGAGTGAGACAAATTCTTCTCTCCGCTCTGCTGTTAGATGGGTGAGCTTATCTGATACCTTGGTCCAGGCGTTAGTGTTCTTCTCCCAGGTCCCAGTCATCTCCAATGTTGGCGGGCAAGCATTATCTTCATCTTCTGTGGGTGTTAGAGCTACTGCACACACTGGAGCATCTGGTGAATCCCTCTGGTAGTATGGTTTTAACATATTTATGTGACATAGTCGACTGGATTTTCTCCTATCTGGGGTGGAAACAACATAATTAACATCACTCAGCTTCTGCTTTACCAAATATGGACCACTAAATTTTGCCTGTAAGTGACCATGTATGGGAAGCAGAACCAACACTTGATCACCTGGCTGGAAGCACCCTTCTACAGGCAAATTAGTGGTCCATATTGGTAAATGCACCGAAGCTGAGTGATGTTAAGTTATGGTTGTTTCCACCCCAGATAGGAGAAACCAGTGGACTATGTACATAAAAATATGTTTAAAACCATACTACCAGAGGGATTCACCAGATGCTCCAGTGTGTGCAGTAGCTCTAACACCCCACAGAAGATGAAAGATAATGCTTGCCGCCAACATTGGAGATGACTGGGACCTGGAGAAGAACACTCTAACGCCTGGACCAAGGTATCAGATAAGCTCACCCATCTAACAGCAGAGCGGAGAGAAGAATTTGTCTCACTCTGTCTCGGTATCAGGATGTTATTCCGGGACTCACCAGGACTTACAACATTAGCAGTGCATGATGTGAATGTGGGGGATGCTGCACCAGTGAAGCAGGCGCCTTACCGTGTAAATCCAAATCGTCTTGCCCCTCTTCAACAAGAATTGAATTATATGTTAGAACATGGACTAATTGAAGCTTGCCAAAGTGAGTGGTGTTCACCTGTGACTCTAGTGCCCAAGTCTGATGGGGATATCGATTTTGTATTGATTTTAGGAAAGTCAATGCTCTGACTAAGACAGACACATATCCGTTACCAAGGGTGGATGAGTGCATCGACAAAGTGGGAAGTTCTAATTACATTAGCAAGTTTGATCTACTAAAGGGATATTGGCAAGTTCCTTTGACTGACCGAGCTCAGGACATTTCATGTTTTGTTACTTTGGGTCAAACTTATAAGTGTAAAGTGATGCCCTATGGTATGAAAAATGCTCCTGCCACTTTTCAGAGATGATGAACACTATTACTGCAGGAATCAAAGGCTGTGTAACTTATATAGATGATGTGGTTGTCTACAGTGATTCTTGGGAAGAACATATCTCTGAAGTTGGAGAACTCTTGAATAGATTCTCCAGTGCTAATCTTGTTGTAAACCTCGAAAATGTGAATTTGTTAAAGCCCAAGTACAGTATCTTGGGTATGTAATTGGACAGGATCAGTAGCCCCACCACTGGCTAAAGTTGAATCTATATGTCGGTGTCCCAGACCTCAGAATAGGAAAGAATTACAAAGATACTTAGGTATGATAGGTTACTATCGTATGTTTATTTTAAATTTTACAGAAGTGGTAGCTCCCCTTACTGATTTGTTGAAGAAAGGTATCAACTTTGAGTGGAGTAAGGAATGTGAACTAGCATTTGATCAAGTCAAAGCTATTCTTTCTAATTCCCCGTATTGCAAGCTCCTAATTTCAGTAAGCCCTTCAAATTGGCTGTAGATGCAAGTGATGTTGGTGCTGGTGCCGTCTTATTGCAGGAAGATGACCAGGCCATTGATCACCCAGTTTGTTACTTTAGTAAGAAATTTAATTCAGCCCAGAAAAATTATTCTACCATTGAGAAAGAGTTATTATCACTTATACTTGGTCTTCAACATTTTGCTGTTTACCTTAATCCTTCTGGCCATGAAATTACGGTGTTTACTGACCATCATCCCCTCAAATATTTGAACAAGTTTAGAGATAAAAACCAGCGATTAACTAGATGGAGTTTATACTTGCAAGAGTTTCATCTTAATATCATTCATATAAAAGGGAAGGATAATGTGATTGCAGATTGCTGTCACGACTTTGATATTGTTGAAACAAAAATTCATTGTAAATTTTTCTTCTTAGAAAGGGAGGTGTTAAAGCCAGTGCCATGTTAGGGATTCTGACAGTTCGCGCGCATTTTTCCTTACAGCCAATAGGGAGAGGCCACCTGGATGTCTGTAGGCTCTCAGCCAATGAGAGGAGTTGACACATTCACTCTTCCACGCGCTCTCTCTCAGGCGACAGCGTCTCTTTGTTCTTTCCCCCTTTTTTGTGTTTATCATCACCTTATTTCTAGATTCAAGGAATCCCAGTACTTAAGTATAAGTTTTATGTGTTCTCAGATATATATAGGTCTGGTTAGGATAAGTGTTTGAATCTGTTTAGTGGTGTATTTTTACGAAATATCCTATTGCATGTGTGTAAAATATTTCTATTCCTAGGTTATGCATTTATCTGTTCGTTAGTTTCTTACTACAAGGCCCTGGATTCTGTTCTATTACTTTGATGTCATTCATGGAGTTAAAAACCTTGTTATCTTAGATCTTCAGTAAAATAGGAATCAACAGCATTGTTTATTTTAAACCGTGGCCCCTCGTAACAATATATATATATGTATTATATTTATTGCATATACATTTAGAAACACACATATTCATACTTATTTTTATTGTGTGTTTGAAGAAATAACAAAAAATACAAAGTATACATATTGATCTAATTTGACAGACATCCTAGAAACAGAAAGAATGTTTATTCTTGATGCACTTGGTATAGGTCCTACCATGAGAAAGATATCTTCCAATACAAAATTGCAAATAAACTATCATCTCTACCATTGCCTGTTGAAAAGGGGCGCGCATAGGTAGTGTTACTTTGCGGGAAAATTCTTTTTATTTTCTTTTTTACGTTGCCCTCACGGTGACGAAGGAAAGAGAAAGGAAAGAGGGAGAGAACGAGGAAGGAAAGAAAGAAGGAAAAAGGAGCTCCTCCTCACGCAGGACCCCTTGCCGCGGGGGACGTTGGGGCACGGTTTTCCAGGAGTACTGACTGGGGCCGGGCAAGTGTGAGCGTCAAATGTAGTAGATATTGTGTTAAGTTGTGAAAGGTGTGGGTGTTTGTGAGTGCCGCCGGCAAAGTCCTTTCTTGCCTGGGTCCCTTGGTGGGTATTTACCCCCCCCCCCCGTTTCAAAAAAAAAAAAAAAGTGGGGGGGCGAGTGGGGGATAGGTGGACCCCCTCCTTCATTTCCCCCCCCCCTCCTCCACCTCCCAGGCAACCACATCACGACCGCCCCACCGGGGGCGTCCCTCTAGCGCCGCCAGGCTCCCGCTCTGCCGGACGAATGGAAGGCCCTGTCTCTGGTCGTGTTGCTTGACGGTTCTGCGCCGCCAACTATAAGGAGAGGCGGTTGGGTGCGGGGCCGCGGGTGGCGAAGCGGGCTGCCGGGCGGGGCTGGGAGCGCGGGGGCCGCAGGGAGCGAGCGCCGCCCTTGGCCTTGCTGTGGGCGGCGGCGGCGGCGGCCCCCGGGGTCCGAGCCCTGCCCGCGGTGGTTTGCTGCAGGGCCCGCGGCCGACAAACTATTAGTGGGGGAACCACCTTCGGGGGCTGCGGGCTGGCGCGGCGGGCAAGGTCGCTGTCGGGGCCGGTCGGTGGCCTTGGCGCGCGGCGGTGCGCGGGCATCCTGTTGTTGCGGCCTCGCCCCCTGGGAAGGCGGCTTCGGCTCTCCTGCCCCTGCGCCCTCTTCGGGCGGGGGGCGGGGCGGAGGTGGCGGCGTGGGCCCCGCCGCCGCAAGGAAGGCCCTGCCTGCTCGGCTCCCGTCCCCGAAAGCGGGGTAGGCTTCGGGGTCTGGCTGCCGGGGCCGTCGGAGGGGCGCCTTCCGTGGCCCCCGCGGCCGCAGGCCCTGGCCCGCGGTGTGTGGGCTGAGGCCCGCGCCGACAACTATAAGGGGAACCACCTTCGCGGGCTGCGGCGGCTGCGGGCGGGCGGGCAAACTCGCCCGTCGGGGCTGTCGGGGCCTGCGCGGGGGCCCGCGGGCGTGCGGGGGCATCCTGCTGGTTGGGCCTCGCCCCCCGGGCAGGCGGCTTGGGCTCTCCTGCCCCCTGCGCCCTCTCGGGCCGGGGCGGAGGCGGAGGCGGGCGTGGCCCCCGCCGCCGCGAGGAAGCCCCTGCCTCTCCGGCTCCCGTCCTCGAAAGCGGGGCAGGCTTTGGGGGTCCTGGCTGCCGGGGCCGTCGGAGGGCTGCCTTCCGTGGCCCCCGGGGCCGAGCCCTGCCCGCGGTCGTGTGGGCTGAGGGCCCGCGCCGACAACTATAGGGGGAACCACCTTCGGCGGCTGCGGCTGGCGGGCGGGCGGGCAAGCTCGCGTCGGGCCTGTCGGGGGCCTTGCGGGCGGTGCGGGGGGGTGGGGGGGCTCCTGCTGTTGGGCCTCGCCCCGCGGGCGGGCTTGGGCTCTTCCTGCCCCTGGCCCTCTCGGGCGAGGGGCGGAGGCGGCGGCGGCGGCCGGGCGTGCCCCGCCGCCGTGAGGAAGCCCCTGCCTCTCCGGCTCCCGTCCCCGAAGCGGGGCAGGCTTTGGGGGGTCCTGGCTGCCGGGGCCGTCGGAGGGCTGCCTTCCGTGGCCCCGGGGCCGAGCCCTGCCCGCGGTCGTGTGGGCTGAGGGCCCGCGCCGACAACTATAGGGGGGGAACCACCTTCGGCGGCTGCGGGCTGGCGGCGGGCGGGCAAGCTCGCCGTCGGGGCCGGTCGGGGGCCTTGCGCGGGCGGTGCGGGGCATCCTGCTGGTTGGCCTCGCCCCCCGGCAGGGGCGGCTTGGCTCTCCTGCCCCCTGCGCCCTCTCGGGCCGGGGCGGGGGCGGGGCGGCGGGCGCGGGCGTGGCCCCGCCGCCGCGAGGAAGCCCCTGCCTCTCCGGCTCCCGTCCCGAAAGCGGGCAGGCTTTGGGGGGTCCTGGCTGCCGGGGCCGTCGGAGGGGCTGCCTTCCGTGGCCCCGGGGCCGAGCCCTGCCCGCGGTCGTGTGGGCTGAGGGCCCGCGCGACAACTATAGGGGGAACACCTTCGGCGGCTGCGGGCTGGCGGGCAAGCTCGCCGTCGGGGCCGGTCGGGGGCCTTGCGCGGGCGGTTGCGGGGGCATCCTGCTGTTGGGCCTCGCCCCCCGGGCAGGCGGCTTTGGCTCTCCTGCCCCTGCGCCCTCTCGGGCCGGGGGCGGGGGCGGCGGGGCGGGCGCGGGCGTGGCCCCGCCGCCGCGAGGAAGCCCCTGCCTCTCCCGGCTCCCGTCCCGAAAGCGGGGCAGGCTTTGGGGGTCCTGGCTGCCGGGGCCGTCGGAGGGGCTGCCTTCCGTGGCCCCGGGGCCGAGCCCTGCCCGCGGTCGTGTGGGCTGAGGCCCGCGCCGACAACTATAGGGGGGAACCACCTTCGGCGGCTGCGGGCTGGCGGGCGGGCGGGCAAGCTCGCCGTCGGGCGGTCGGGGGGCCTTGCGCGGGCGTTGCGGGGCATCCTGCTGGTTGGGGCCTCGCCCCCGGGCAGGCGGCTTGGGCTTCCTGCCCCCTGCGCCCTCTCCTGGGGGCGGGGGCGCGGGCGGCGGGCGCGGGCGTGGCCCCCGCCGCCGCGAGGAAGCCCCTGCCTCTCCGGCTCCCGTCCCGAAAGCGGGGCAGGCTTTTTGGGGGTCCTGGCTGCCGGGGCCGTCGGAGGGGCTGCCTTCCGTGGCCCCGGGCCGAGCCCTGCCCGCGGTCGTGTGGGCTGAGGGCCCGCGCCGACAACTATAGGGGGAACCACCTTCGGCGGCTGCGGGCTGGCGGGCGGGCGGCAAGCTCGCCGTCGGGGCCGGTCGGGGGCCTTGCGCGGGCGGTGCGGGGGCATCCTGCTGGTTGGGCCTCGCCCCCGGGCGGGCGGCTTGGGCTCTCCTGCCCCCTGCGCCCTCCGGGGCCGGGGCGGCGGCGGCGGGCGCGGCGCTGGCCCGCCCGCCGCGAGGAAGCCCCTGCCTCTCCGGTCCCGTCCCGAAAGCGGGGCAGGCTTTGGGGGGTCCTGGCTGCCGGGGCCGTCGGAGGGGCTGCCTTCCGTGGCCCCCGGGGCCGAGCCCTGCCCGCGGTCGGTGTGGGCTGAGGCCCGCGCGACAACTATAGGGGGGGTCGGCGGCTGCGGGCTGGCGGGCGGCGGGCAAGCTCGCCGTCGGGGCCGGTCGGGGCCTTGCGCGGGCGGTGCGGGGCATCCTGCTGGTTGGGCCTCGCCCCCCGGGCGGGCGGCTTGGGCTCTCCTGCCCCCTGCGCCCTCTCGGGCCGGGGGCGGAGGCGGCGGCGGCGGGCGCGGGCGTGGCCCCCGCCGCCGCGAGGAAGCCCCTGCCTCTCCGGCTCACGTCCTCGAAAGCGGGGCAGGCTTTGGGGGGTCCTGGCTGCCGGGGCCGTCGGAGGGGCTGCCCCGGCCGGACGGGCAAGGGCGGGCCCTGGGCGCGGTCGTGTGTGGCTGAGGGCCTGCGCCGACAACGACAAGGGGACTGCCTCGGCTGCGGGCGGCATGGGGCGACTCCCACCTCGAGCCCGCTGCTGCTGTGCGGCCGCGTCGGGGCCCGTACCGGCGGTGCAGGCCGCCCATTCCCCGATTGGCGGCTTGGCTTCCTTTTCCCCTTTCCCCTTTCGGTCCCCCGCGCCCTCTCGGGGCCGAGGGCGGCAGGCCGATGGCTGGACTGCCTGTCAGTCTGCCCCGTCTGCCTCATCTTCCTGGGCAGGGGCTGGCTCGGGCTTACCCCCCTTCGGCCCCCTGCGCCCTCGTGGGCGGCGGTGTAGGGGACGGGCCACGGCTATGCCGGATCGCCTACCCGAAGGGGGCGTTCTTCCCTGGCGGCGGCCGAGGGTGGGGCCCTGGGGCGCGTCGTGGTGGCTTGAGGGCCTGCATCGACAACTATTATGGGGGGCCACCTTCGGCTGCGGGGCGGCGGTTCATGGCCAAACCCCGCGGTCGAGCTCGCCGTCGGGCCGAGCCGGGGCCCCCTGCTGGTGCGGCCTCGCCCCCCGGGGGCGGCTTGGGCTTTCCTGCCACCCTGCGCCCTCTCGGGGCCGGAGGGCGGAGGCGGCGGGCGCGGCGTGCCCCCCGCCGCCCCGTGATGAAGCCCCTGATTCTCCGGCTCCCCGTCCCCGGGGGAAGCGGGGCAGGCTTTGGGGGTCCTGGCTGCGGGGCCGTCGGAGCCAGGGGCTGCCTTCCGTGGCCCCCGGGGCCGAGCCCTGCCCGCGGGTCGTGTAGCTGAGGCCCGCGGCCGAACAACATAGGGGGGAACCACCTTCCGGCGGCTGCGGGCTGGCGGCGGCGGGCAAGACATCCGGAAACAGCCATGCAGACCCTCAAGTAACTGCCATCGTCAGAGTCTCACGCAAACCAGTCCACCTACTACTGATCCTTCCCTCGCCGTCAGGGGCCGGTCGGGGCTTTGCGCGCGGCCGTGCAGGGGTATATCCTGCTTTAGGTTGGACCTGTCGCCCACTGCGAAGGCAGGCGGCTGGATCAACCAGCTGCCCCCTGCCGCGCGCGGGGACGGGCGTCGTGCGGAAGGGAGCAGGGCCCAAGCCGGGCATAATCGGGGGAATGTGGCGGGCGGAGGGGCCCCGGCTGGCACGCGCCCGGCGGTGGACGGGGCCCCGAGCTGCGGCAACGCCGCGCGGCAGAAAGGCTGCCCCCCGGCCGCCGTGGAAGACGGCCCCGACCTCTGCGTGGCCTCCCGTCCCGAAGCGGGCGGGCAGATTTGGAGGGCCATGGCTGGCCGGGCCACGACACACCGCACCGCGACACGCGCCTCGGCTCGGACGGGACAGTACGGGCCCCCCCATGCCCCCGCCGCCCGGAAGCGAGGGGGCCAGCTCCCCGCTGTCGTTGTCGGGCCGCAGGCACCTCAAGGCCAACATACCACGACCGCGCCCAGGGGCCCCGGGCTTGTGGCCCGTCCCGGGCCGGCACGGCCCCGTCGGCGCGGGTGGCAGGCACGCCGGTAATTTCCCACGCCCCGCGCCCTATGCGGCCCGAAGAGGGGCCAGGGCCCGCATGGGGGAGGGCCCGACCAACCCCCTGTTCTAAAGGCAGACGACGAGGAGCCAGGCACGGCCAGGGCCGGCCGCCCTCGACCGACGAGGGCGCGGGTCCGAAGGGCAGGAAAAGCCCAAAGCGTCCCCTGGGCCAGGCCAAAGGAAGACTGGTGGCTGGAACGGGCCTCGCTAGGGCAGGCGCCCGGCCCGCTCAGGCAAGGCGGCGGGGCACGGAACGGGGACCGAGTGGGAGGACGCCGGCCCGCCCCGCCGGCCGCGCCAACAGCAGGCCAAGGGCGGCGCCTCGGCTCCGGCGGCCCGCGCTCCCAGGCCCGCCCGGCAGCCGGCTTCGCCACCCGCGGCTTCCACGACCCAACGCCTCTCCTATAGTTGCGGGCAGACCGTCAGAAACACGACCAGAGACGGCCTTCATCGTCCGGCAGGGGGCGGGAGCCTGGCGGGCCCGCTAGAGGGGGACGCGGTCTCGGGGGGCGGGTCGTTGATGTGGGTTGCCTGGGAAGTGGGAGGGGGATGAGGGTACCTATCCCCACTTTTCTTTTTTTTTTTTGAACAGGTGGGGGAGGACCACGAATGCCCCCCAGCCGCGCCCCACAGAACCAGGCCAAGAGGGAACTTTGCCGCGGCTCGGCACTCACAAAACACCCAACCACCCTTTCACAAATAACCAAATATCTACTACATTTTGATCGCTCAAAACACCTGCCCGGCCCCAGTCCAGTAATCCTGGGAGACGCTGGCACCAAACGTTCCCCGCCGGCCAGGGGTCCGGGTTAAGAGGTGCTCCCTTTTTTCCTTCTTTTCTCCTTCTCTGTTTATCTCCTCTTTTTCCTCTCTCTTCGATCACCCGGGAGGGGCAAAGGTAAAAAAAGAACAAATAAAAAAAGAATTTCCGCAATAGTAACATAAACCCTATTGCGGCGCTCCTTTCAGAAGCAATGGTAGAGATGCTGGTTTCATTGCTATTTTGGTATTGGAAGATAATCCTCTTCTCGTGGTAGGGCTACTAACCAGTGATCAATAAACACTTTCTTTC